TCAGGGTTGCAGGATGATAATAGAGAGATGGGTCGCAAACCTTGATCAGTCCTCAAGATAGCTAACTAGGTTCCTGATCCCTAGCTAGGTTCCTAGCTAGGTTCCTGACTAGGTTCCTGATCCCTTTTTAGGCTTTAGGTTAAATGAACTGATGTTCATAGACTCCGTGGAGTTACCTCACTTTAATTTCAATAATAAAAAAGCTGTATATAAATTAAAGATTCCTTTGACTTGTGGATTGAACACGTTACTAAAACATGCATTGCCGAGAAAGACTTTATGAAAGCGGATGGATGCGATAAAGAAAGTGAATTTCAAATTAAACAAGAAGAATTGAGAGTTAAAATGTTTAGTAAGTAGATTCTTAAAAATTCTTAAATAAAAGAAATTTTCAGAAGATGGAAAAACGCAATATAGATGCACTGTACCTACAGAACAGGCTAAAGGTATTCTTGAATACAACTGAAAATAGATAGAGATTTTTATTCGAGAACCTAAAAAGGTTCGAGAACCTAAAAACCTAAAATTTTGGTTCGAGAACCTAGATACACTCAAGTGTAACTCTTGAAACCGGCTTTTCGATGTTTTAATTAAGTAGGCTTCTATTAGAGATGAAATGAACTAGTGTGGTTTTATTAGAAAGTGACTATAAGTCTTCTTTATCTTAACGATGGGCTTCTATGAGTGAGAGAGAGAGTGTGTTTCTCCGTCAATTACCGTTCTTCTTGAGACGGGCGACTCGATTGCAAGTTTAACCCCAATGAAAATACAAATTATTTTTGGCGAAATGTATAAAATTAAAACCTAACAAAATTTTGGAAAATCACAAAATTAAGTGTGAATTCAAACGTTACATTTAGCGGGCATTATGGACAAAACGTCATTTAAAGGACACAACGCCAAAAAAATAAAATTAGTGCCAAATTTATCTTTCTCCGCGGATAATTCCATTTTCAAAAATTATTACCCATATTTTTAAATTGACAAAACAATTTTTTACTTTTTTGGGTAAAAATTAGTGGAACAATCTAAAAAAATAATAAACTATTTTTTTATAAAATCCGTATCCTTTTTGATTATTAAAATAAATTTAAAAAATTTTTTTTTCATTTAAAGTTGGAGAAATTGTTGCGATGATTCGAATTTCTCCAAATCATTTTTATTTGCTCGCTGGATTTTGTAAAATTTAAAAAATTAGAAAAAAAATTTTCTCTTACCTTTAAGTATTGCACCGATTTTTCATTTTTATTTATGCACCGGATGGAAGTAATCTTAAAATAATATTCAAGTTCATTCTTCTCATTCTTCAGATTATACAATTCCAGTTTCATATGATACTCATATAATTTCCTCCACCAATAAAAGTAAGAAAATAAAATTGGGGTTCGAGATAAGAACTCCTATAGACATGAAATATGTCGTACCTTATAATGTGAGGGTATATTAATTAGTAGCTTCGAATAGAACTCCTATAGACCTGAGAGATATATCGTTGATTATAATGAGAGGTATATTAATTAGTAGCTTCGAATAGGTAGCTCTCCGACGAAGGTCAACCGAAATTTCAGAAGATCTCTTAAATAGAGGAGTATTTTATCAAGTTATATTGAGGGAAATCTAACGGTCAACTTAGACCTAACCAGCTCTGATGAGGGTTGTCCCATATGAAAAAAACAAGTCTGATTACTAATTAAGGCGTTACAACTACACCAGAAATATACCAATCTAATTAAGACCTTTTTGTGGGTGATTAGAGTTGATTCACTCTTATGGAAAGAAGATACCTCGTATCGAGAGCTTTTGTGTAATATCGATCAGATGAGTGATATGCATCAGATCTGATCAGGCATCTGAGCTGTCTGACCAGATAAGATTGGATCAGGCATCTGAGCTGTCTGACCAGATAAGATTGGATCAGGTATCTGAGCTGTCTGACCAGATCAGATCGGATCAGACATTCGATTACATAAGTAATATACAGATCAGATCGGATCAGATGAGGAATAAAAAAGTTATGATGATCAAAGTTGGCTGACTCTTAGCCCCTTAGTCCCCTTATACCGATGCTCCTTATTTAACAATTCCCTAAAGAATTAAAATAATTTACAGCAATTAACGGAAAAAGCACAGTTAATTATTTAATGAGAGGAGTACATCCCATATTTAACGAAACAATTAAAGGTATTTTTTGTGAGAAATTTTAAAATATCCATAATAATTTTAAATAGACGGAGATGGAGGAAAATTGAATTTATTTGATACTTTTGGAATAATAAAGACTTATGGTAATTTAAAAATTTCTAGAAATTTTTAAAATTTATTTAAAGATCGTTATGTGACAACAGTTAAAAAAGTGGCGGGAATGAAAAATACTCTCTATCTACTTGAAGGTATTTTTTTGAAGGAAAATTGAGAGATACCTAAGAGACTAGATAAGGGCAGAGATTGATCCTTCGACCTACTGCTTAGCTCTAGCAGGCGATTTTGAAGTGGGTAGATCTAGAGGATTTGTACCTTTTGCAAGGGATTTGGACACTCTTCCCTGCAAAACCTTCAGTATTCCTATTAAGCCTCACAAATTTTCAATTTTTCGCAATTAGTGGTGTTCAGTTTTCATTTTCAAATCAATCTGGGTTATAATTAGGGTCGTTTATAATCGTTTATATTTCGGGCCAAATATATTAGGCCTGACTCGATCTTTCGGCCGAGTCGGTCCATTTTGACAACCCTAGTTATATTCTATTATATTTTACCAAAGGAGAGTCTGAATAGTCGAAGCTTATAAATGGGACCTTAAAAAATTAAGTAAATCTGAATTATGCCCCTACTTTATACGCAGCTTCCAATAATATTTAATTTTCAAAAAAATTTTAAGGTGTGAACAAAGATGTCCCGTTTGGTAAATACTTTTATCAGTATTAACTCAAAATAAATTTTCCAAGTTGAAAGCTTTCCGATTGATCTTTATGATAGAGCACGTGGCCGATTCAAAGCAAGCCTGGGCCCTGGAGGTTAAAAGATATTTCAGAGATTTCTACAAAATCCAATTTTTATAGAAAAGTTTCAATGCGGGCCATCTTTTGCAAGTCCAGTAACACACCAAGCTGCAAAATTGGCTTGCTACAATAAAACAGGTGTGCCTTTTTGGTATAGTCGTCTCCCCCTATAACGACTCCCCCTAACCCTTATTTTATGATATCGAGTCGAGGATCTGCCTAAGCGGCACTTCCAATTAACAATACACACCTCTATTTAGACATTTTTACAGTTGTTTTGGCTATTGAGTGAGCTTTCAAGAGAAAACACCAATTTAAGAATAGCTCTTTAAAATAAAGCCAACTCTCGATATCACGTCTCTTCCTCTCATTTTACGTCTGATTACATTTTCACCCCTCCCAAGGGATATAGCTTATAGCAAAGTTCAGCTATGTAAACTTTTTCGTTTTTCAGCTGAAGTTAATGAATGCTGTATTGAAATAACTGCTTGTTATGATCGTTGCGACGAAAAGGAAAAATGTGACAATAAATTTTGTGATTGTTTAGAAGTGATCCTAAAGGAATATTTCAAATTAAAATACTAAAATTTATAGAAAACTGCGGAAGATAATATTGCTTGTCTTTTTGGACAACAAGGGGTTTGTTCAATTGTTAGAAGTGCTGGTTACATTACTTATGTTACGGTGGATTTTTGAAATTAATTTCTTGGAGCTAAAAGGCCGTCTTAGAATCGTTACTGCAGTCTGTAGCATATTTGGATTCTTACCGATTTAAGAAAGCTCTGGATTTTGATATTATATTTATCGGAATGATTTGATCAGATCATCCAACGTCTGTCCAAGTAAATATCAAAAAGGACGACTGACGCAATTATCCAGGTGTCCTTTGAGTAGTGCGATAGATCAAGTCAATCCTACTAGCTTGAATAATCCAGACATCCAGAGCTTTCGATTGATATAATATGTATTTAAATTGGTTAGGAAGCAAAAAATTTATGGCCTAAAATATGGCATCGAGACTGCAACGGCGCTATGAGATCCCCTACCTAATAGAAGTTATTGTAATGGACAGTTATGTACCTCTTCCATCCCATAGACGAGTTTTAGTCCCTAAATTAATAGCCTTCAATTGATATCTGAATTTTCAAAATAGGCAAAGGATTAAATAAGTTGTGACCCTGAATAAGGCCTTAAGATGGCAAAAGACCTGGATGACCCCAAAATTATTTTTAAATTTTAATTTCAAGTCTGGATACAAATGTGTTGCTCAAGCAGTAATTGACGGTGTTAGTTATGCCGTTAAGGAAGGCATTGGATGGAACGAAATTAAGTCTGTTTGGAATGGGGCAAAGACAGCAGGGAAATCATTAGCAAGAATTGCGAGTGGCCTTTTTGGATAAATAAAAAATTGAAATTTTTATGAATGCCATAATGTGCTTTAAATGTCAAGAAATACATAGTTAAACTATAATCAAATAATATATCCGAAAATAAAATTTATTTACAATATTTATCAGGAAAAATCAGAAACTATTTACAATTTGAGCTAATTATTAGCAATTTTATTTAATTAAACTTACATATTAACTTTTCAAGAATACAGTTGGACCTCTGAGTAAGATACACTCAGTACCAGATATCTTTCTATTTAAGATACGATTTTTAAAAATCGAGTTGCCGTTGCCTGTTGTAAGTGTCTATTATTTGTAAGTGTCCTCTATTTATGATACCCTTCATTGTACCTCTCTTTAAGGTACCCCAATACATTAGTCCTCAGTTTTCTTCCCCAACAGCCTTTCACCTGTGAAAATGTGGTATGGCCCACCCCTAATATATGCTCTATTTAAGATACATTTTGCAAAATTTGGTTGACCATGGGGTTGGGGACCTGCCTAATTAAACACATTATTTAAGATATCTCTCATTATAAGCGGCGATATTTTCAACGTCTGGGTTGTCGCTTATAGCGAAGTACGACTGTATAATTATCATTTCAAAATAAATTTATTCATTAGTAGTTTCCCCCAGATCCAAATCCTTGACACTCAAACACGACAAATTTGAAGAGACTGAAGATAACGACGAAGAGGATGCTCTACTCAAAACTTTCGAGCCTTTGAGCTTGTCCAAGAAGGAAAGCCAATTCTTCCTTTTCTTTCCAAAAACTACATTTTCCAATTCCTGATCATCAAAGATTTTATCAGTCAAATTTATCGAATTGTCCAAATTCACTTTTATTGGAATCTTGGCTGCTTCAAACATTGTTTCACATTTAGTTTTAACTTCTTGAATACAATAGCCAATTAGTGCTTGGCGGAAAACTGAGTTTTCCAAATTTTGACAAATGTCGATAGATTCTAATACTCGCTCGAATCCGTTTCGTTTAAGTTCTATCAACGCTTCAGACCACTAGAAAATATTTAAAAAATGTGAAATAATACATTACTATAAAGATTGACTCCCTCCATTGACTTTATCACCCCCACAATTCTACTCAGCCATCTTAATTTCTTTCAAAAATTATAAATGATCAATGACTCATAGGATCACTCATGAGGGTCTCTTTTCTCTTGGCAAAACATCTCTATCTATCTAGGAACCTTAACCTTCAAGTTAGGTTTGACCCAAAAAACGGAATCAGGGTTCGCCTGGTCTGAGAATATCCGGGATAGAGTTTGCAGAAACCGTTTAAGGTCGGTTTAAAAGTTGATCATGATTTGTACCGGCAACACCCAACCCTATCAAATACCTACAGATTTTGTATTTTTCTTTTCCGATTTTTTCTTTTCTGGCTGAATCCTTTTCAAATTAGCCTCGACAAATTCAAAAAGTTGATTGAACATTCCTTGACTTTTAAATAATTCTAATACATCCTTTTTATTTTTTCTGATTATTTTTAATAAATTTATAAAATTTTCAAGTCTCTCATCTTGTAATATTGACATTTGATTTACCAAAAAATTTAATATTTCAAGATCGGGGCGTTCTGATATATATGCAGGTTGTTCAACTTAATTGAAGAGATTTTTGATTTACCTTATAATGAGGAGTCTTAAACAGGGGGTATCGCTTAGGCGGCCCCCTCGCTCAGAGACACCCTTGGAGTGGGTGTCTCTGACAACCGCTCCAAGAAAAATCTCTCACCGAAAAATAATTAAATTTAATTAAAAATATGGTCAGACCTTAAATTGAATATTCGCATAGGCGGCCCCCTCTCTCAGAGACACTCTTGGGGCAGAGACACCTTGGCCAGCCATATTTTATAAGTCTAAAATCAGTCGGACTTCAATAAAATACTTTTCAGAACTGACGAACCGTACCTTATATCTTAAACAAAGTGTTAAAGAGGTGGATCTTATAGAGTGGTCCGCAGGTAGTAAGAAGAATTAAATTTCACCATTTATTTCTGGAGTTATACCATCTTCTGTTGGTTGCTCAGCTAACTGAACATGTTGCTGTTGTCGACGAGGAGCAGATTTAATTGTATTAAGTAAATAAAATGAAATTATTGTTATTAATAAATTTAATTTGGAAGTCATTTTTTATTATTATTTCACTTAAATTGAAATGAATGGACAGTTGACTGCAGGCTCGGGTAGAGATTTTGGGAGTTTATCGAGAAGTCCTGGCAATAAAAAAATCACCTTTACTTTTAATGGATCTTAAACCATAACCTAGTCAGCGGTTTATCCCTTCTACCTTGGATATCCCGAGGTGACTACACACAATACCTCTTTAAGAAAAAGAGAGAAAAAAGTTAGCAAAGGACAGATAGCGGTCCTGTGGTCTAATTGTAGTTATCTACAGGCTGAGCTACCAGGAAGTTGCTTCAGCTTTTAATAGATCTTAAACTCTGGCCTATTAAACGTTTTTCTCTTCTTCCTTACATAAGTTACGTTTTTCAGGCCTGCGGAAATTTTATAGTCCTTAAAAAATATTTGAATTAAATACAGACTGACAATAAATCAACGACTAACCATTTTATAGACTTCCTTTTTTAAGTAAGAGGGCAATAATAAAGACATCAGACTTGTTTATTTAATTCGATTATGCTTAATAAAGTACATGCGCACTTTAGCTAAAGTGCATGTGAAGCAATCATTTTGAATAATAAAAATATTTGACAAAAACAAGGCACTAACTGACAAAATAGCTAGTGTGATGCAATGTTAAAGGTCAAAGTCTTCGATAAATCCCACACCGAATAATTAAATCGAATTAGAAATATGGTCAGACCTCCTCATAGGAGAAGGGTCTGACCATAGGAGGGGTCTGACCATGGTCAGACCTTCTCATAAGAGGAGGGTCTAACAATAATCCCCCCCCCTCCTTGCCTCCCCATGAGAAAGAAAATGAAGAAATAGAAATAACTAATATGTAGGTATTGGCCATTTTGTGGCTTTGGGGTAGTTTTTTATATATATAGTTTTTTATTCTTGCTTCACGGAGCCGTTCCACTGAATCACGGCTACTAGAAACTTCAAAGACGCTTGGTTATGAGTAGGGATGGGATTTATATGGATTTCCATATTTTTTTCCTGAACTCGTTGGGTTCTGAAACGTCCAAAAAACATGTTTTTCATATGGTAATAAGGCCGTTTTTGAGTTATCAATCCATATTTTCCATATTTTTTCATATTTAGGCGTTCCGTCCATATTTTCCATATTTAATCCATATTTCGTCATTTTTTGTAAAATTTTCCATATTTTGGATTTTAGTCCATATTTCAGTCCATATTTTGAGATTTTTAGTCCATATTATATGTCCATATTTTTCGATTGATAGTCCATATAAATCCCATCCCTAGTTATGAGTCTTGACTCATGACTTTTCTTGGGTTTTTTGGTCTTGAATCTCGGAAAATTTTCGGTCTTGGAAGTCTTTACCGGCTATTGAGTCCCGGCCCTATAGCTCAAGAAGGTCTCCCTCGTCTTTTGCATTATGCCTGTTCCTGTCAGCTTATGGATTTGAAAATTTTGGAACCTGAGAAATACAATGCTCAGCCCAGATAGGTTGTATGGAGTCATGTGAATTATACAGGTTTCTATCTATTTTATGGAAGATTCTTAAAAGAAAAAATTATATTAAAATTTACATGTAGACATTAAATTAAGAAATATACAGACAAAAAGTGCAAAAATGGATTAATTACACGTCTTAAAATGCCGCTTAAAGGGCGTCTATAGCTTTATGTCTGCCTCCATTTTATTCATTTTTAATAATGAAACTTGAAAATTATTTTTGTTTAAAATATTTTTTAATTAAAATTGTGCTTCAACTAATTTTAATTAAATCAACTTTACAAACTGATTCTAAAGGGAAGTCTATTGTCAACGAGAACAATGTTGGGAAAAATCAAAAAGCTTTTAAATTTGTTGGAAAAATTGAACCAAAAATTAATTCTTATGGTGATAGAGATGGAAGGCTTTACAATGTTTTTAAATAAATTTTTTATAATCTAGTCGAACCTCTTATAAGAAACATCCTTTTGAGTTAAAATAATCGTGCCTTATATTCTGTTAGGTACCCCTAATGGTGTTTGAAATTTTAGATTGTAGCTGGTACTCGTTCTTCTAATGAGGAGTTTCTTATAATGAGCGATATCTATTAAGGATATCTTAAAGGATATCTTTAGTTATCGGACTTGACTTTAATATAAGCCTTCGTCTGGAAAATCTTATCTTGGAATAAGGAGTATCTTACATAGAGGATATTACTTTCCCCCGCTCAGTGTTAGGAGGGTATCGCTTAAAGAGCAGTGTTCTACCATAATTTAGAAACGTAAATTAAATAGATGCGTATATGTATTAGGGATGAGAAAAAAGCTGGTTTCGGATAGGGTTTTGGAGTTTGGTCATTGTCTTTAAGGTAATCTGATCCGTCGCTGATATATCTAGTATTGATGTATACCTCAATGTGTGGTTCGAAAGCTTCCCATAATAATTAACTATTCGTTTAGATTAGAGCAACATTTTATCCAATTGCTGATGAGGAATCTGCACAAACTTTATCATTAATAACAGAACATGAATTTTCCTTCAATTTTTCATTTAATCGTTCATTGCTTAGAAAACCTGACGAAAGTTTAAAAGAAAAATTTAAAAGATTAAAAACAAATATGTTAAACAAATTTTCAAAAGATCACAGAAGAATGTATAATATACTAGGGATTGAATTTGAAGGATTAAAAAAAGTATGGGTTGAAATTGATATTCCGATTAATGAGAGTTCTGATTTTATTAAGGTAATTTATATTAGTCTTTTCTGCCTTGGGATTTACAAGAAAAGCTAGACCATTGCCTCCCCATTGGGCCCTCGAGCCTCCGCCATAATCGAAACTTGTTTAAGAGGCTCATACAGGGACTTCATGATATGTACTGAGGCAGACCTCATCAACCTCCGAACTGTTCTCATAAATTGCCTATCGGGTGTCTCAATCGGTCGAGTTCGGTTTTGGTTTTCATTACATTTAGTGAAAATGAGATAAATACGGATCTGAAATTTCTTCCGGTTTCATTTGACGTATCCTGGCCTCAGTTTCTATGATTTAAATATCTTTTTAAGATACTAATGTAAACGTTAGTTTCGAAGGCATAATGCATTTATTGCGAGGCACTTTCTTCCACATCAGCAGGTGATCTATCAACTTTGCGCGAAAGACTGTAGGTAGAAAAAAGTGGAAGAAATCTCATCCCTTGCTATAAACTGAGCTACCGGGACGTTGCTTTATCTTCCTGTTTAAAAACATAGCAAAAGATTTTGAATGCTAGACGGCTGGATCTCCCTTCTTTTTACAATTTTTATATTTTTATTGTTGCTTTCATTTGCTTATTGCAGCTGAATAAATATTATTTTTCAGCGATCATGGCAAATTCACCATCCCCATTTAAACAAACGTTTTACCTTCTTTGTTGGTGCCTTTACTTCGGATATTTATTTGCGGGCTCGAATTACTTTGTTTAATCAAAAAGAATCTGATCCTTTCTTTGATGACGAAGACAATGTTTTGATTAAATCGGAAGATGAAAATATAATTTTTGAAAAATTTAAATTCAAAGATGTAAAAGTAAACGATAAAGATTTGGAAAAATATGAAAAAGCAAATAATTTGAAAGTATATCCTACTTGGAGGGATAAATATAAAAATTGGGTTTGTATTTGTTTCCCAGAGAGACGCAGATCTACTCAGATATTGTAAATTACTTACAATTAAGTTAATTTTTCTAATGGAGACTTGGTGTAGGAAAGATGGAGACTTTGTGTAGGAAAGGAAAGATCCAGCTAGAAAGGAGATATCCAGCTGGTTTTGTAAGACAACTGGTATGCCAACTTTAATCTAGCAGACCCGATTCCCCAAATAGGGAAATAGGATAAGAGTCCGTCTCAAAGCCATCAAGTTTAGTCTGTCTCAGGGTCATCTAGTCTGTCTCAGGGTCATCTAGTCTGTCTCAGGGTCATCTAGTCTGTCTCAGGGTCATCTAGTCTGTCTCAGGGTCATCTAGTCTGTCTCAGGGTCATCTAGTCTGTCTCAGGGTCATCTAGTCTGTCTCAGGGTCATATAGTCTGTCTCAGGGTCATCTAGTCTGTCTCAGGGTCATTTGGTCTGTCTCAGAGTCATCTAGTCTACCTATGTAATTGGGTTCATTAACAAACCAAAGATAGAATCGTTTAAGATTTATGTAGGAGGCGGCGTGTTATAATGAATAACAAAGGTCGATTGAAGATATTGGTTCGCTCCGAGTCGCCCTAATAACCGTCTGCCTATCATTTAAACTAGTCGGAAGGTTTATGATGTACTTTTTATTTATTTCCGATTAATTAGAAGTCCCAGTCCTTAAATATTCTTAAAATAAATTGCTCTAACTAATTTTAAATTAAATTAAAGGCTAAATATTCCAATCCGCAAAATTCCAACTATCAAAAACAAAGATGGAATTGTTGAGGAAAATAACAATATATTAAATTTTAACAAAATTATTTTAGCAATTGAGACGGAAGGAGTAATCAGTACTTAATTAAAAATTAATTTTAAAAAATTTTATACAGGGTCAAATGAATCTTAAACACGAAGTAGGAGAGACTTCTAAATCTAATGAAAACATCCAAGAAAATTCTGAAATAATAAAGGAAGATTTACAGGAGGAAACTACTCATATACAGGATCATCTGAATCTAAAACGCGATGAAGGAGAAACCTCTAAAGCTAATGAAAATATTGAATCGAAAATAAAAAACGAAGATTCTGAACTAGAAAATGAAAATTTACAGGAGGAAACTGAATCTAAAGTATCTAAATGGATCGAGGATAACCTGCCCACTAACACATCCATCAAGCCCGACGTCGATGTAAATTTTTATTCTTAAGTGTTATGGATTAAAATGAGATATTAAAAGAGATATCGAGGCATTTGGGGATTAAGCTCATTTGCCGTCTGGTGCTTTGTGTTAGGCGCTACCATTGCTGATGGAAATTTTTATTTAATAATTAAAAATATTTAGTCACCAAATGCTGTAAATAAAGAATCAACAAAAAAAGTT